TAACCAACTGAGCCCCCCAGGTGCCCCATTTTGGTGCTTTTAACCTGTCCTACTTTGGGAAATGACATAAGCAAATGTCTTATGATTATATCTAAAGGCCAGTTGGCTGTCAGTGAGGGTCTAAAAGTCTCCCCACAGGTGTTCTCACAAGTGAGATGCAATGACCTGGGGACTTGTTCTTTGGTTACCTAGTGGCTTTTTTGGCCTCCTTTGGGCTCCCCAGCTGCATTTCAGATCATTGAAGTTCTTTAAATTATGAACTCTGAATACAGGGGATTCTATCATCTAACAAGGACTTATATGCTAAATTGTTGCTAGTTTCTAGTAAATGCCTTTTCTATCTCACTGTTATTTATAGACATTGCTTCTGCAACTTTGAAATGCAAGTGCTCCTGTCTGCATTTTCTAGGCGAAGAAATGGAGACTCCAAAGTTTCCACACCTGGCCCAAAGCATTCCGTTGAATAGTTCCCTTCACATCAACATGTATATGTAGCATGGGAGTCTCACTAAGGATTTACAAGCAGTGTGAGTTTCTTCATCATCTAACTAATGAGAATTATGAACATTTGCCCACTGTGTCAAAGAGGCCATCCTCATAATAATGCCTGGAGTTGGTCCAGCCCACATAGAGCTGGGCAAGGAGTCTGCTCTGCACACCTCCAGGGGGCAGCCTTACATTGTGTTCAACCTGGTTGGTACTCCCAAGGGCATATACATCGTGCAGACATCTGAAATGGTGCCCCGGGACTGCAGCAGAGCATCCTTACCTGGGAGAAGGGGAGAAGGTGTCACAGCTGGTGCATTGGAGGACCATCAAGTAAACAACATGAAAAGCCCCACAGGAAGGGCCATCAGACATGAGGACAGGATGTGTCTTGGATCTGAGATTTAAAACCAGGCTGACATGGTCTCAAACTCCCTTGCCTTTCTCCCTGGTGGGGAGAAGGGAGAGATCAAATTTTGCATATAACATAGCATTCCTTCTCCGTGAGGTAGGCACACTCCATTTAACTAACCAGAGTGTCAAAATCCATCTCAAAGTTTTTAACTGTCCAAGTAAAGTGAATTCTTTACAAACTCAACTATGTCTGGAAGCCTCAGACAAAAGTGATCCAAATAAATCATACGACCTTTGTCCAAGCAATCCCTTTTTCTAAGAATCTTTTCCAAACATCAGCCCACGGATGGGGACAGTGCCCTTGAGGAGGGCCAGCCAGGCAGGGACTTCCCAGGCCAACGGTGCCCTTCAGCCCTGAGTGGCCACACAGCCATCGAGTGGCCAAGCAGCCTGCCAAGATTCAAACACAGGTCTGTCCCTATTTGGTCACTGGCCCTAACAGTGCCCTGCAGGCCATCCTGTCACATCTGGGAGTTTTTCAGTCCTCACCCAGGGGAATTCTCCACCACAACCTCTGAGTCTGATAGCTGCAGATGGAAACAGAAACACAGAAAATGTGATTCTTGCGCAGGAAAGTTGGAACAGAGAAGAGCTCAGACGTGGGCGGGTGTGTGTGTGTTTAAAAAAAAAAAAAGGGTGGAAACCCCACCAGCCAAGTCTGCAGAAAAAAAAATAAATGCAGTCTGCCTATCTGGGGCCGGAGCCCCTCCCCTCGGGCCGCCGGAGACCGTGACACAGGTGCCGCTTCCTCCCGGCTGCTGAGGGTCAGAAGCAGGCCCGCGCGCCCCTCGCCACCGCTCGGCTTCTCCGTGCCCCTGGCCCGACCCGCGCCCCGCACCCGCTGGCGATGAGCAGTCTCAACAGCACGTTGCCGCCCGACCAAGGTGAGTGCCCGCCGCCGCCCCGCGGGGTTGCGCCCCAAGCCCCCGGGTCCTGCCGCTCCGTTCGTGCCTCTGTGCGGTGGCCGCGCGTATCCGCCGCGGGAACTTGCCCCAGGCCGGGAAGTAAGGCACCCCTGCGCGGAGGGAGGGGACAACGCCCGCCTTGTGGCTCGGCCGCCCCGGGACGTGGGGGCGGATTCCGAGTAAACTTCAGGAAACTCAGCCGGTGCCCTGACTCCTCTCTGGGGCGGCGGGAGGGACGTGCACGCGGCGGGGGCATCTCTGGCCTTGACCCCCAGAGCGTTGTAATTCCTCTTTCTTGTTAAGAAGGCACATGCTTTCCTGCTGACGGGAAAGAGAAATCGGATACCCAGAGCTTCTCTGTAAGGGTGTTGGGGGACCTGGCCTGGCCTCCCCCACCCCTCCTCTGCCAATGGGCTTTTGCAGTAACAACATCAACAACAACAAAAACTTAAAATTTTCTTCTTAAAAAAGCGAATGTTTATCCCTCTTATCCCCAACTCTGCCCAGGTCTGCTCATTAGAAACTGTCAGAGGGGAGACATTCTGAGTCATCCTGTTAAACAATTAACGTGATAATAGGGGTACTGGGGACACCCACTCCTTTACAAGTTTTTAACATCCAGGTGGTTCTGTGGCCTCACCAGCGGAACTGGAGCATAGTCTACTGTGGCTAGGTTTGTGGTTGTGCACTATGTGCCTGTGTGTGTGTGTGGCCACCGGCATGCTTGTTTGGGGGTGCGTGGGGACAGGAGTCCTGGGGGGAGGGCCCCTCCGCCTGCATTGGCATCAGGCGTGCCACTGATTAGCCAGGGGCCTGAGGCAAGCCAGCCTCTGTCTTAGCTCCAGCACCGTCCTCATCATCAGTGAAATGGGAACATAGGATATTCTTCTTTGGGTCCTGGGAAGGAAGCTCTGTGTAAAGGTCCCAGCATGGAGATGGACCGCTAAGGGCCCCATAAATGTCAATCATCTTCATTTTTCATTTTACAGGAGACTGGATCTGGGAGCTCATGTTGGCTCCTGTTTACGTGTGTAAACACACGTGAGTGTGAGAGTCAGACACTAGTGTGTGTGTGTGTGTGTGTGTGTGTGTGTGTGTGT